CCAGTTTCTGCCTCTTTCTTTTCATTCTCCGCCGCACGCGGGCGGGGGGAGGGGCGGCCGCGTGGCGCTTTTGTTGCCAGCGGCAGCCGAAACCAAAACAAAAAGAAATCTTTCAGTGCAGTGAAGGAAGAAAAAACACATTAATTTGGGCAAGGAAAGACTTTTTCTTCTCTTTTAAATCATGTCAGCAATTGCTCCTAAACTTTTTGCAATGCCAGTAGGAAAACTTAAAGGGGTTTTCAAACCAGCTTGAGAAGACAGCCTGAGAGCCAGTGGTCAAATCTGCTTTCACTGCAAATACAGCTTCTGTTTATGTGGTTAAAAAACATACTTTATTGGCAATTTTGGATTGCATCTCTGTTGGCTTATATGTAAGATAAAATGACTTGATGTGTCTGGAGTGTGACAGTGCTTCTTCTGGTGGTGTTACAGATGTGGAAGGCTACTGCAGGCCACACCATTTCTGTCAACCAGGATGACGGAGCCGATGACTGGGAGACAGATCCCGATTTTGTGGTATGGCTTTTGAATTTTACTGATTCAGCAGAAGTTTGTTACGTGGACACGTTAAAGAGCAATTCTTCAGCCTAGGGGCTATATCTCAGAAAAATAAACCAATGTGAACATATTCCTGGTAAGAGGGAGAATTAGAGTTTTATGCCTGTGAGTGATGAACTAAACTACCTTGTCTTGGCTGGGTACTGCAGGGGAGTCTGTACAGAAGAGATTTGTGTCAAGAAGCAGCAGCTTCTTGGGGCTGAATGTGTGCTCCGTGCATTTCAGCGGTGGACAAAGCACAGGGCTTACAGCAGAAGAGAAGTGAAGGCAGTATGAACTGCTTTTCTGAATCTTCTGATCTCGACGACTGCTGAAAGCTTTTGCTATGAACTCTAAAGAGCAGATAACTAGCAGTGTCTTTAGATTTGTAACTCTGCTTGTGTGTGTCCTTTACAGAATGATGTGAGTGAGAAAGAGCAGCGCTGGGGAGCTAAAACTGTGAAAGGATCCGGCCATCAAGAGCACATCAAGTAAAGCAGCTCTCTTTTAAATTTATTAATAGTCACGATCCCAAGTGGCTTAACTCGTGTTCTCAGTTACTTCTGTCTTCGTAATTAAAACAAGAGTCTCTGTAGAAGATTGATTTGTTTGCCAGATTGCTGGTCTTTCAAATATGTCAGCACCTTCAGATCTGAAATTAAGATCAGAACTATGGTGTAGGGACTCTTAAATCTTTCTTTGTAACTGGAAATATTACTTTTCCTGCCTCTTTGTGTCTGGAGAGTTTCTCTGTTCTGTTTTGGTGTAAGAGCCAATACTGCCAGGGGAGAAGCTTGCGTTGGGTGATCTGAGCAGCTCCAGTTTGGTACTTCAAGAATACATTTGGTCCCTTAATTCTTAGGCTTTGTTTAGAAAACTGCAACCAAACTCATAAGAATTCTGGCAAAGTAACAAATTGAGCCCTCTGGCAGAAAGGCAAATGAATGCATCACGAAGGGCTACGTGAGACAGAAATAATCCTTCTGAATCTTGTAATTGTTACAAAAAGTGTCTAAGGCTTAACTTTAAAGTGGTTTTAGGAAATCTGTGATTGTGGTGTTCATTTTGGTTTCACTTGTGTATTTCTGGGGTATCAACCCTCATGGTATAAAGCATAGAGCAGATGTCATCAGTGTTGAAAACGGCGAGAGACTCAACTATGTGGCGTACTTCAGGGCTCAGTTTTATTCTGCCCTATTTGGAGTGTGGTGGGCACACCTAGGGGCTGAGTTACACCCGGGGAGGCTTTAAACTCAGGTCTGAAGTACTTTAAGATACAGATTACCAGCTTGGTTTGTCCTTGTGTGTAGCCTGCGCTACCGTAAGTTCAGTTCCTGCATATTGCAAGAGAACTCGTGGGGAAGAGGAGGTGCGTGTCTCCTTGCATTCTGATTTTGTGTTACAGTTGTGTCCAAAATGCTCAGTTAGAATTAGAGTCCCGTTACCATAGGGACTCTGCAATAAGAGATGATCCCTATTCTGAAAAGTTGCCATCTAAATAAAAAGTGTTGGAAAGCATTTAAATTAGGACTTGAGAAGAATATGTCTTTCAGGCACATAAAAATTCTGGGTAATTGATTGTTCAAATAGCAAAATACCCTTCCATGTTAGTCTTAAAACCAATGCTTTCGTTTTGGTTCTTTTATTTTTTTTTCCCCCAGACAGTGTTTCGCAGTGGAATAAATTCTGTTTCTCAAGATATGATTAAGTGTTTTGTGCACTGAAAAAATGGGAGGGGCTTGAAAAATACAAGTTTCCCAGCTTTTAATTAAGGTGATGTTTTTATCACCTTACTTTTTATTTTGCATCTTTTTGAAGTTACCTTCTGAAACTTTCTTAGTAAAACTTGCTGCTTAATTATCTGTCTTTAAAGTATTCATCAGCTGAGGGAGAATGTATTCCAAGAACACCAGAACCTCAAAGAAAAGGAACTTGAAACAGGACCAAAAGCTTCCCATGGCTATGGAGGGAAATTTGGCGTTGAACAAGATCGCATGGATAAAGTAAGTATGAGTGGGATGGTATCATAAGCCCTGCCTTGCCTGGCCTGTGGCCTGCATGGCTGTATATGTGAGTTCAGCTTGTTGAAGGTTCAAAGTTGGAACAACGAGGTGCAGAGACGTGGAAGCTCATATCATGGCATAAGCTGTGTACAGCAGTGGCTCATTTTAAGGGCGGAAGCATCGCTCTTACAGTGCCCTAACAAGAACACTCGTAACTGCTGTTACCCAAATCTGTCAGGCCATTATGCTCTGTTCCCTAATTGAGTCAAGATGCTCCCGCAGAAAGAACTAAAACACCTGCAGCAGCAGGAACAAGTATTTCAGGTGGCAAATTAGGAATCTGTGAATGATGAGGAGAAGTTCTGGGATGTGCCATGGCCCCATATGTTTTTGTTTCATGTTTGCTTTAGAGCAGTTCTGCTTGCTTATGTCCTGGGTGGATTCCCCTGGAGTCAAGATTCAGGTTTCTAAAAGTATATTTGTAAATTAAGGAAGTACTTCATGCATGAATAAATCCAGTATTTTTTTTATTTCGATGCTGTGCCAGCTCTTCTATCCATACAGAGGTTGCCAAAGAATGGAGAAAAGGGAGTGCTGCTGCTTTCAGATTAGAGGGCAGCTCTCGTGAACAGTGACAAGTAATCCAAGTATTTTAAAAAGTCATTGCACTTCAGTTAGATAGTAATGTTTTACATAAGGACTTGATGGCTGTTAAGTTACACTGTTAACGAAAGTAGTGATCATCCTTAAGGTAATTCCGTTAGCCATCTGATAATTAGACAGGCATCTCATCATCTGGTTAGTTTCTTCCATGTACTCTGTTAAAGTAAGAGCCAAACTGTTTTCTGAATAAGAATGATGTTATTTTCTTACTTTATTTACTTCCTGGGTTTCTAGTAATTTGACAGCCTTAAATTTTAGCTGAATTCCTGTATTCCAGAGTAAATTGCTGTATAATTCTCAGTGGGCTTTGAAATAGGCTAACCTAACCTTTGAACCTGGGAAAGGAATTGCTGAGCAGATTCAACCATGAGGCCTGTTCTGCAGCTGCGTAGCTCCCTAGTGTCAGCAGTTTATCCCTCACCTGTGTCCCTGGGGAAAAATGAAAGAAACAAAAGTGAGTACTGTTTCCTGTAGGCCAGAATTAATAATCAGGAGAAACATAACGGTCACGCCCATCTGAGTGGTACTGATGGCAGGAGACCCGTATCATAATTTATTTTTTTAATAATGCTTTCTTCCTTATAACTATAGTTCTGAAATACTGCTGTTGAGATCTCTCCTTGGCAGGTGTCTGTGGCTCTGTGGAGGTGTGCTAGTGTTAAGACTGGACTCACCTGAAGAAAATGAGCGTTACTGCAGTGTTGTCGATGGTACAGGTTTTTGCTGCATTTAGGACAAAACCTTGATGCTGACTCAAAATGAAACAGTTAGATCATTCTATATGCCAGACCTAGATAACTGATTTAAAATGTAGCGGACTGTTGTGCTGAGGAATTATGAGGGCAGTTTACTCTGAAATACAGATTTCCAGGAGAAGTCTTATTTCTAAGTCTTTTTAGAAAAGCAGTGTGTTGTAATGCTTGGTATTTGATGAAATGCAGAAAGTTCTGATGCCACATAAAGAATACAACATACTTAAACCTTACCTGCCTCCGTTGGTATAACAAAATAGGGATCATGTAAAACCACATAAAACCTAGGATTTACAGAGCTTCACATCTTGCATAAATGTAATGGGTAACGGGAAGAACAAAAGGAGGTGGGAGCTTTTTCTGTCACATTTACCAGTTACTCTTCTACAGAACACATGCAAAATTAACATGAGTATGATTGTTTCAGTCAGGAAAAGAAAGGAGCTTTTATATTGCTTGTAAGTTTAGGTGGTGTCCTGTTACTGACATCCTTTTTCTGTTACTTGGCAATTACTTCAGCCATTATGTGCGGTCATATTTTGCTTTCCTAAATGCTTGAAATGTTCCCCCACAGCACCTGTGTTTAAAAAAAAAGGGCAGATACTGTAAAAGCCAAGTTACTTATGGTTTCTAGACACCTTGTGTCCTCAAATTAATTCACCGTGGTCCAGCTGTCTGATACTGGTACCAGATAAGCAGTCTCTCGTTCCTCAAAGGTCAGAGCTTAGGGCAGCAGCGTGGAGGATGCTCTGCTGCAGGCACAGATGCCGACTGCCCCGTGCATGGTTCTGGGACTAGCAATGCTGCAGGTCGTGGTGCTGCCCAGGGTGGGTGGTGGTGTTGGGTCAGGAGAGGTGCTTGCACAGGGTGCAGCCTCTTGATCTGGACACGGCCGCGTGCAGCGGGTTATCGGGTCTGCTCTTTCTGCGTCTGACAGGAACTGTATGCGCTTAAGCAAGAGATGCAAATGTTAAAGTGGCAGATTGCAAGTTGTTCTGGCCAGCGCTCAGTTTTGGCACTGGACAAGAAAAAAACTTTACTGTGTTACGCAGCACCCCTCAAGGTGCTAGGCTCTAGCATGGAGCCCAGGATTCTAGCACTAGATCAGTGTAACACTAGCAAACGCTACCTGGCTGTACTTTCAGGTATGTAATTACATATCCTAGTGTCTTACCTGAAGCCAGTGACAGTGTGATGTAACTGTGCCTCGGCTTGCTGCGTTCAGCTTGAGCTCCAGGGACGGGCTCAAGTTGGAGACTGTGGGGCTGGGGGTGCCTTTGGCGTGGGGAGCTCTGTCTTGATGTGGATGCACTGCTTCATGTTGCAGTGCCATTTTGCAAGTGAGGAGAAATTACAGAGAGAAGATGCCTAATTTTGATTTATGCAGAAGACGAGGGTGTCTCCCTAGAAGAATGTCAATGAAAAACCTAGCTGTAGTTGTATTTTGTTGTAATCTGATATCGGGTAAAACAGATCTGTAGCTATGTGCCTAAATACAAGGCTGTGTATTCTATCTGGAACTGGTCTTTATTTTATATCCTGCATGAACACCATCAAGATCCCACCTGCATCTTTCTTGTTTTCATTCCTGTAGTTTTGAAGTAAAAACACCAAGTGCAAAACAGTCTTTATAAAATAGTCATTGCTGTCAGGCCCTTTTGTGGCACTTCCCTTGCTTAGGCTTTATTGGTAGCATGGTGACCGCCTTGTAAAGGCTTCCCAAGCGAGCAGCGACTTCCATGGAAGTTAGTTTCAACAGAAGAGTGGCAGTGATGCGTGTTTGCAATAAAGCTTATCCTCAGGTTACTTGGTTGCAGTGTTTTATGTACAGAACTGTACAGAACTGCTGCCTGTTTCTGAACTTTCCCATTTCTTTTAGTCAGCTGTTGGACATGAATATCAATCCAAGCTTTCTAAGCATTGCTCCCAAGTGGATTCGGTGAAAGGGTTTGGTGGCAAGTTTGGAGTACAAACTGACAGAGTTGACCAGGTAAGGAATTTCATCTCGTACTGCAGCTAGTCAGTGGAGTGGAGTTTATCATTCTGTACATACAGCTGAAAAATTCCAGTATTTTACGGAGATGAATTTCTGTTCAAAGCAAAATGGAAAAAAACCCTTATGGGAAATAGAGATGACTTGAAAACTGAAAAGAGATGTTAAAATACGCCTTTTAGCCAGGCTGTGTGCTTTGATGGGGGTAAAATCGGCGTGACTGCTACAGAGTGAGGGATTTGGGGGATAGTTTGTCCTGTATCACAACATGAGCTACCGGGCTGGGTAATTGGTGTCCTGTTCCAAGACTGTATAACCACCCCTGCATGGAAATGCTGAATTCCTGTTGTACTGGGTTGCTGAACCTGGCAAGACTGGAGTATATTGCTAGTACAATTTGCTTTGGCAATGAATGACAAAAACCCTTGCCATGAATACATCTACTAAATTATCATGTAAATGAATATGGCCTATAAGTTAAGTAGGTATTTGTGCTCCCGATCAAGAAGGTCAGAGCAGTATGGAAAGACACAGGAACTTTCCTTGCTGTTTGTCCACTGAAGTGCATGCAGTTTTTCTACTAATATCTAACTCTTCTTCACAAATGCAATTGTATTTCTCTTCCAGTCGGCTGTTGGGTTTGAATATCAGGGGAAAACTGAGAAGCATGCCTCCCAAAAAGGTAAAGTGGGGAGGTGGTCGCCTCTGCAGACACGTTTTTTGTAAATAATAGAGTAGATCTCTGTTCTTCTACTGTGTTTCTAAAAGACCTCATTTAGTGGGGCCTCTACATGATGTTCTCAATGAATCAAATGTTGAGGGGTTTCGGTGGAAGAGAATATGAAAAAATGAATTTCAGAGCGATTTCATTAGTTGATGAGGCTTTAAGACAAGGAAATAACATGTCATTGTGAGTCAATTTTCTTTTAGAAGTGAGGTTCAAGCACGTTTTAGAAAGACTGGGAGTTGCTCTTTGCTGTATTGCACGCTGTTGGAAATAGGGAGTAGATTTCAGGTGAAACATCAGAAACAATAGGACTGTTGCCCATCTTATTTTTTGTGTTTAAACTTAATTTTGTGTGCTAAAGAGTAATATTTCAGTTCTGAAATAACTTGGGTAATTTCGCCCCCTCAATTGCTAGGATATGTTTCCATTAAAAGCTTCTTTATTTCGTTTTTATTGTGCTTCACTCTCAATGCAGACTACTCAAGTGGTTTTGGTGGAAAATACGGAGTACAGGCTGACAGAGTGGACAAGAGTGCGGTGGGGTTTGATTACCAGGGTAAAACCGAGAAACACGAGTCACAGAAGGGTGAGTAGACACACGTGTTGGTGGGTTCGTCCTCTGATGTAGTAGGCTTTCATCATAGGCAGTGTTGTAAAATACTGATTTTTTTACATCTGTTGCACCCCTAACCTGCTGAAAGTTAACACTGAATAAAATTTATGTTGCTGAAAACTTTGACTTCTGGTAAAAGAAACCTAAAACATAGGTTCTGAGTGGTTTTAAGTGATGATCCCACTGTCATTACTTTGGAATCAGGGCATGTAGGTTTGTCTGGAGGTTTTTTGCAATGCCTTTCTAAAAGCTGTAGATTGAAGTACTGAGGCTGTAAGCAGTTTAGCCACAACAGAGAAGCGTTTCTAAAAGAATCAGCTGTTTGTAGATTAAAACATTTATCAGAGTTAGTTGTGTTTAGAGTTAATATTGGGTTGCTAATCAGGTTTCCAGGCATATCTGATCAAAAATCGACCATTTTATTGAAAAAAATTGACATTTTTGCCATCTGTTTTCTGTTTATCTGAAAGAAATGTTTGCACTGTAGAAATGCTAGAGAGAAGAAGGAGGTGTTTGTTTAGAAGCATCCAGGCTGCTGCTGACATGGTTTTTGAAGTTCACTTTGCTATAAGTGTCTTCAGAATTTTATCGAGGAGTCAAGTAGCAGAATTGCTGGTATCGCCCAGCGGTTGAACAATGTACGATGCTATTCTGTTTTCCATCCTGAGAGAATGTATTCTGAAGAATTTATCACTTCAGTGTCTGAAATCAAGATTAAATGGGGATGTCAGTACGTAATGTAATATTAGCAGGTCTGATTATCGCAATTTTTCAAGGTAATATTTTGTTAATGGAACACTTACAAACAAAATTCTTCACTCTTATCTCTAGATTATTCCAAGGGCTTTGGTGGTAAATATGGTGTTGACAAGGACAAAGTGGACAAAAGTGCTGTTGGCTTTGAATATCAAGGCAAAACGGAAAAACATGAATCACAGAAAGGTTTTTATTATCTTATTTAAAAATACTAGTTCAAATCGATCAGCCTTTTAAACCTGGGAAAAAATATTTTGTTTGGGGTTTTTTTTTGTGGTAAATGTGTATTTCCCCCTTTGTGTATGCAGATTTTTGTTTCCCTTAAATGGAAAGGAAGGCATTGTAAGCTGTCCCTGAGTTTCACAATCTGATTTCCAAGGGACCTCATGTCCATATGGATGTTACTGAAAGAAATGTGTCATTGCACAGCTGTGTGGTATTCAGAGGCAGTATCAAGTCCTTCATTATTTATATATCTACGTTGCACATGTGTATATGTGTGTTGTATGGCTTTAGGTGGAAAGTGCATCAGATTCTTCAAACCTTTGAATATTGTTGAGTCTGTATGCTGTAACCTTCACTGGATTTGTGGTGCTTCCTTGCATTGTGATCCTAGAATTACTGAATGGGTATCCTTCCCCTCTGTTGAGGTAATGTAGCAGGGGGAAGAAAGGAGTGAAAGATAGTATGATTAATGACAGGGCAGCTTATCCCGGGACATGTTACTTTTTTTTTTTTATTAAATACTGTTTACAGTAATAAACTGCAATAATGTTTTCTGAAACTTCATGCATACAGATTACGTGAAGGGGTTTGGAGGCAAGTTTGGTGTGCAGACAGACAGACAAGACAAATGTGCGCTTGGCTGGGATCACCAGGAGAAAGTGCAGCTGCACGAATCCCAGAAAGGTACATCCGTTCGCAGTTCTCTGCCATTCTTTCTGACTTCCCTCATTTTGACCGTTCTCTTCCCTGGGTGAACCCTCCTCCCCTGGTGTCTTTGGCCCCAGCCTTGCAGTAGCTGACCTGAGTCTCCTCTTCCCTGTGTTTGATCGGTTGCTGTGTATTGGTTGTACTGGTGTCTGCCAAGCAGGTTTAACATGTCTGACTCCCTGAAAGTTCAGACTGAGTGATCAGTTCTCACGGGAAAAGATTTATGAGTCTGCAGGTAGCCTGGATTATTTTTTTTCCTTTTTCAGTTGAGTTGTGCAAGCCACAAACCAGAAATTTCTTTGTACTTTCCACAAATAATCTCCCTTTTCTGGTTTCTGTTATGTATACCCTTATTTTCATGCAGGGGTAATCTAATACCTAATGCTGTCTTTTCTCATTGCCTGTGAGGTACCTATTCCTGTGAAATACTGGTATACCCAGCTGAACAGTTACAAAATAACAATTGCTCCCCAGCCCTCTGCCTGTCACCATTCTTAACTTACATTAATTTTTTTTTTTAATTAAAGAAATTGAAAGTGATCCTCGGAATATTGTTCACTTGGATGCTCCAGCAGATTTGTTGAGACAATTACCCTCTTTTTTTTGTGCCCTCATTTTATACCATATATTAAAATGGTTGTTCTAAGGCAGCAGTAGGGAATGGTCATAGCTCTTAACTGAGAACTTTTTTTTCCTCAGTCTGTGGGGCAGCAGAAATATTCCTTCTTCCTTTAAACAATGCTCTGAAGGAATATCTGGAGGATAGTCTCTGTGGTCCCTATCTTAACACCTCTTTAGAAGTCAGATATTTGGTGTACAAATGTTAACCACACTGATGAAGGAAGCTGATTTTATTCTCTTGTATCCTTTTGTATGTTGTTTTGGTGAACATACTATGTTTGTGTTCATAACCTTGGTCAAATGCAAATGCATTATGCAGTACATATGAAAAATATTGAGAAGTGCTTTTTTCTGTGACTTCAGAATGGTATTCTTATGTCTGGTAAATCATGTTGACCTGTTCCTAATCCCAAGTGGAAACTTCGTTTGAATTTACTGTTACGAAAGTGTATTGAGATTTTTTTTTCACCATCCAAAATTACTGGTAATTGAAAATATTGCAAAAATTATTTTGAATGTCTCTGACTAAACTTCTTTATTTTCTTCCATTTTAATTTATTACGTGTGGCTTTTTCAGACTATAAGAGTGGTTTCGGAGGGAAATTTGGTGTACAGACAGAAAGGCAGGACCCATCTGCTGTGGGGTTTGATTACAAGGAGAAACTAGCCAAGCATGAATCTCAACAAGGCACCGTTTTCACTTGTTACTTTCTTAACAGTGCAGCCACTTCTCACACAGTCTTAAATAGTTGTCTGAGTAGAGCGATGCTTGTAATGTGCAGGCACTTTCTTGCGCTTCTATTCCTACATGATCTAGCAATGTTCTTCCATTTTATTCTTAAAATGTTACATAAAGCAAGCCTGTATTCAGGAAACGGATATCCAATGTTTAGTTAACAGCTCTACAACATTAAGCATTTAGTTAATAGCTATACATACAGTGTGATGTTAACGACAACGTGCTTACTAGTTATAGAGTCTAAATGTGAAGTTTTGCCTGGATAAATTGGTGGAAAAATATTCAGATAAGGACCTGCATGTAACCGTTAACAAGCAATGGGTTATGGCAAAATCATTTTAAAATGATTGTAGTCTTTAAAACAAGAAGTAGGGAATGTTTGTGGTTCTTGGGTGAGCAAATACTGTTATAATGCTCTCTTTATTCATTGTGAAATAGTTGGGGTACAAACCATGAATTCCTGGTTTTCCGTTATCTAAAAGTGAGAAGTCTGGATCAGGAAAATGTAAGTGTAGTATATTTATTCTGGCTGAAAATACATACAAAGCTGAAGAAAATGAGGTTGTTCATTCTGATAGTCAATATTTTTCTGTGCTACAGTGACACAAATTCAAATTTTTAGAGTGTCAGATATGCCTTAGCAGAGCCCAAGTACAAACACTGAAATAGCTGGCTAGGGGGGACCCGAGTGGTTTTTGGGGCTAGGAGGAGGAGGAGTAATTGTATTCCAGGGACGTATAGGAAAGCCTGTCCATCTACAGAGTGTAAGGGCACATTCCTACAGCTCGCTGCCACCAGAGAGTTTTTCCAGCCACACACTCTTGCTGCTTCTGTTGCACTGGCTCTGGTGCTTGTCAGCCGTTTCTCTGACAAAACTCAGTAGAAAGAGCAGAAAACTACTCTTGTAATAGGCTTTGTTTGTTGTTTTTCTTGTTAATGCCACTAGTGAGTTAAACTGATTTTGAAGCTTAACAAGTGCTAGAGTCAGCATCAGGTGAGAGGAGGAGTGTGCAGTTCAGGGGTGGTATGGAATAACGTGGCCACTCCATCTCTGTGGTGGTGAGTTGTAGCAGGCTGGTGCTGTCTTCTGGAACTGCCCCTTTCCATGTGTAGAGCAGGAGTTACTACCAATGACTTTAACGTTCTTCACTTGAGTATCACAACCAAATCCACTGGAATAAGAAATTTGTTACGTTTTCCTGCCATTCATAGAATTTACCAAGTTAAAGTGAAAAAAAACCACCTCTGTGGTCACCGAAGACTGGATATCTCTCCTTTGGGCAAAGCAAAATGGCTTAGGTTATATGGTTACTGCAGAGGGCTAAGAATTGGTGCTGTGAAAGGCTGTGTTACAGAAGTGATGCATTAGAAGGGCTCATCCCTTACTCCTTGCTTGATACCTTCTCAGTCCTCAGCTTAATGTTTACTCAAAGAATGCATGTAGCCCACAATCTGTCATCTGCTGGTGTACCTGAAGGCTCTTGCAGTTATGTATCCTTCCTGCATCAAAAAAACCAAATTGCATTTTCTTTGGCGGCTGTCACTGTATCTCTGCATGCAGCTGAAATGGCTATTTGCATTTGAAATGGCTGTTTGCATTTGGCAGAAAGATGGGAGGGACAACAAACTGCCCACTCTAACCTTTTATCCTGCTTTTAGATTATTCGAAAGGATTTGGTGGGAAGTATGGTGTACAGAAAGATCGGATGGATAAGGTAAGTTGCTTAAAAGAGCCATGACTTAAATGGTCTGTAGGGATACAAAATTGTCCGGTTAGATGTGTAGCGTTCGGCTCTTTATTTCTGGGTACTTCTCCAATCTAACACTGGAGTTCTGTGCTCTTCTAAATCTTTAATAAGCAAGTTTATGCACACAGAGCTGGTGCCAGTTTATACACACGTGTATGTGTGTACATTTGTATAGTGTGTGTATATATATAAGTAGGGAAAACAGAGCGTGGAAAACAACAGCAAAATTTGCACAAAAGTATTGAAAAATCCATTAATTCCACAATTTCACTCATGTCTCCTAACAACTAGCTGATGCCTGATATCCTGAGGATATCCTTTTAGCGGACTGCTTAAAATAGGTGTCCGATATCTACCAACTTCGACCCCTTTGTTTATCAGGGACCTTCTCTTTAGGAGAACTTGTTCTAGTATTCTGTGACAGGGAAAGGTAGAGCAGCCAGTACACCCTTTCTACCTCTCCATTTTAAAATTTAAAAAGCTAGAAGATGAAACAGTCCACACTGAGATGTATCAACTGAATAAATTTGATCTCAGTTTTGTGTAGGATATTTGAAAGTAGAGGAGTTTGGAAGTCTGTAGGATTTTTTTTTACTTGTGGCTTCAGGACTCAAGACTGTTCATTTAAAGAAAACCCAAACTCGTATTTTGAATACTGTTCTCAAAATACTCCCTCTGTTTTAACAATATCTGCTTCTTTAAGCGAACTGGATGCTTTTACCTTGGCAGAAGTCCTGCACAATGTGGATTAGAACAGCAACAGCCACACCATAAAAGTTTAGGACTTTGCCTCTGTTTTAATTCTGATGAGTTACCTGTTCATAAACTACATTTTTTTAATTAAAAGGGTTCTGATATGTTTAAACATTAATTCTTATGTAGTTTGGCTTACAGAAAGGATCATTCCATTTGTCAAGTTTTGATTCTTCCTGGTTTTGTTTTGGTGTTCTGAAAAAAATGCCATAGGGCCAATATCACAATGAAATGTCACAGATTGAAGCTGTCTGAATGTCTTCATCCATCTGTATTTTTTACTTGTGCTTTTTTTTTTTCTCCTTACTGATAGAATGCAGCAACTTTTGAAGATATTGAGAAACCAGCATCAACTTATCAGAAGACCAAGCCAATAGAAGCTGGTAAGGCATTGGCCCACATCGTTTCTTTGGAGGTGGTAAGGTTCGAAAGCCCAGGATGTTACTGTTGATGTAGTAGTGATGAGTAAGAGTCATCTAGAGGGAACTGCTGTATTTGCAGATCTCTAGTAACCTCAGCTACTCTCTCCCTCCTCTCTTTAGAGGTTATTTTGGTTTGTTGGGTTTTGTTTTGTTTTTTTCCTTGAGGGTCATCAGAGTTGAGGAAGGGAGAAAGAAGTGTCAGAGTGGAGAATAGACTGAGTAGGGGAGGGAGTGCTGGAGACTGTACCGTGAAAGAGAGGAGGGAGAAGTGTTGCAGAGGTTTTTATATAAGAGAAATGTGCGCAAGAGGTTTGGACTTGGGAGATGGAGAAGGAGGGATAGAAGGACTCTGCTGAATAGGCTGTGAGCTCAGACTGCAGAACAGCAGAAACATGTCCAATCCTAGCCGAAATTTGTACTGAAAATTCATTCCAGGCTACCCTTATACAGAACCTTGAACAACAACGTTTGACTTCAATTTTTTTTAAATGTTACAGTTGCTAACAAAACAAGCAGCATCCGAGCTAACTTTGAAAACCTAGCCAAGGAAAAAGAGCAGGAAGACCGAAGGAAGGCAGAAGCTGAGAGAGCACAAAGAATGGCCAGGGAGAAACAAGAACAGGAGGAGGCCCGAAGGAAGCTGGAGGTCAGTAAGCTTCAAATCCTGTCTGAGCAGCGTTGTAGTCTGTTTCAATGCAATGCTGAGAGGAAAGAGAAACTTTTAAGAAAAGATACTTTCTTTCTAGCTGGACTTTAAAGCTCTCTGTGTGTATGTGTGTGTCTGCCTGTGTTTGTACCGTTGCTTTACCTGTTTGCAATTCCAGCCATCTATCAACATGCACCACATGGGCATCAGTCATCAGATAGGGTGATAGGGTAACATTTAATAAGATATCATTTTTTTATTTAGCCTGTCCCAAAATATGTGTGCTAGTCTTGAGCACTAATCTCTGCAGTCTGACCTTTTCCTACTGTACTTCTGCCTTTTGGTAATACCAGATCCCCTTGGACATGGAGGAGCTTGTAAGGGGAGAGACGTGGTCGCTGAAAGGCTCTATATGAGTGCTTGTCCAGGAAGTTTCATACTGTGGTGATAGGTGGTGATGCTGGTATTTTGGAATTGGTATTATGGAAGATGGAGGTGGTCTCACCCATTGGCATAGCACACGCCCATGAGATGAGAGGAAATAATCTTCCAAATATTAACTGAGTCTTGGTTTGGGAATTAAGATTAGTTTAGCATTGGCGTGGTTAAAAGCTTCGTGATTTCTGTGTTATTGATAAGCAAAAATAACTCCAGGAAATGCTGAGTCAGAAACTACATCATATCTGCTTCGTAGAATTTACATGTTTGGTGAAACTGCTGCTGAAATAGAAGGACAAATGCATTAACAGTAACTTGTCCTTCATGTCTTGTTCATTTGCTGCCTTCCGCAGTGCCGGCGATGCCTTACCATCAGTAATCCTGAGGGCCTGTGCTCTGTAGCTGTGTAACCTTTGGTGCAAGCTGCTACAGCAGGGTTTGTCCAGAGCCTCGGTGGCAGTGTCCCTTGTGGGTCCCATGCTGTTAGTCTGATTTCATGGCCTCAGGCTTGTAAACTCTGTTGTTACGGCAGGGAGTGGAAAGCAGTTGATGCTGGTGTAAGGTAGTCCCTCTTTTCCCCTTCTCCTTCACTTCTTGTTTTACAGATATTAGTTTATACTAGAGAAGACTAAATATAGGATACAAAAAGACAGTACTCTTTTAAATTCTGAATAAGTGCTACTTAGCCATACATGTGCACTGAGACTTAACAGCCAACCAGTATGCAACACTGGTGCCAAAACAGCATGCTCCAACTCATGCCAGTAGGGTCCCAAGCAGGAAAATTGAGCAGGTCCTGGTGAAAAGTGTGTAGTTCTCAAGGAGATGCACAGGAGAAACGGTCGTCCTCATCATCTTCATTATTTCCACTTGCTATGCTGAAGAGACCTTCCCAGAGGGGACTGCTTGTCTGGGACCCTTGTCACGGCTCTTCCTGGCTGGCAGTCATGGGGTTTTCCTATCTCCTCCTTTTTTCTCTCTTTCTTTCTCCTCTTCTGTTTTTATTTTCCTCCAAAAGTATCTTTCATAGTTAAAGCTAATGTATGCCAGCAGCTGTAGACCCTGCTAATAAATCTTCTTGCATATGGACTTGTCTCAGCATCCTCTGTGAGACATGTGGAATCCAGGACAGAGTGTCAGATGGCTTCTCAGATCTGTTCGGTCCTTTGCCTACCACCAAACGGGGCAGACCCAATGACTGGTTTCTTAGGTGTGGTAGATACTTCCCCTTAGCAGGGTGCTGCTACAGGATGTCAAGGGGGTGGTGTTCGTCCTGTTCCATCAGTATGGTCTAATTCATCACAGATTTAGACTTGGTGTGAATAATTTGTTTTACGAATACAAAAAACTAAATGCATGGTAGGCTTACGATGACATAGCTCCGATGCTCCTAAACCGAGAAAAATACACTGCAGTCTCTCCATCTAAAGTGATTACTGCCTTTTTTTAGTTTCCTCTTTTCTTTCAGCTTATCACCTCTTTTGCCTTATGGCTTCAAAATGTGCAGTGTGAGCATGCGTTCACTGCATACACGTATCACGAGATGAATGGTAGTTCATCTTTGCATATCAGTGATTTCTTCTAATGCAGCCTTTCATCCCTGTGTACTTTGTGGACTTTTAATACCTTCCCCCAGCCACTATCTGGGTTTCTTTACCGTTCTGGAGAAGAACATGTTACACCTTTAATACAGCATCTGCCACTCTCTTAGAGCTGGCAGAGGAAGGGATAAAGAGCTGAAGTTGAGAGTTCATTCTCTTCTGTGTGATGAGGTCAGCAAGCCTGCTCCAGGGTGCCACTCTGTTGTCAGCTTGGACTGCTCTGTGTCGTTCTCAACTTTGGCACCATTCTCAACTTTGGCACCGGCCTCCAGCACTGAGCCAGGCAGAGAAAAATTGCCTTGAGGAGGGTCACTTGGCTCCGCTCTCCTCAGAGCAGTAAAACTGAAAGGCACCCAGTCCGTGCAGTTGCTCTGGGAGGTCTTCAGATAAGAGAAGCTGAATGCCTCAGCACATGCTCACTCAGAGGCACAGCAAAATGCTATCGGCATGTGTCACCACCTTCTTCTGGTGTAGCTGTTCAGCTGGTAGCCTCATAGCCCCTCGAGCTATTGCCGGGCTGTCCTCTGCTCCTGAGCTACTGTCTGCTGCTCCCAGCATGTCTCGGTGTGATTAAGCTTATGCATCCCCAGTATCTAGGTCTAGCACCTGGTTCTTTTTCTTCCCTAACAAAGTGATTTTTCACTCCTCATCCTCACCTGTCCTTGCCCTTGCCACCAACACTGCAACTCTAGTCAAAGAGCTGTGGCCCCTGCGCTCTGGGATCTGTTTCATGCGGTCACGAAGACTGGAAGCAAACGCTCTTTCTGGACACAACCCGGGGACACCCTTGAGGTGTACATTGCTCTTGAAAGTGCAGCTTCACTCCTCCTTCAAGAGATCTCCCTTTGCTTGGCACTTGTTTTCCTCTGTCAGCACATTGGATCTGGGTCACGTTAGGACTTGTGACTTACAGCAAGCAGCGTTGTTATCTTTGCAGGTTTTAATTTCGTAAATACTTTTACAGTTCTCCAGATAAGGAAGAACCATGATATAGGCTGATGAGCATCACGAGTGTTGCGTTGTTACTAAGGCCATTCTGCACCCATGAGATCACTTTGGACAGCCCTTGCTTCCAGTTACCGCTGACAATTGCTAAGAAGTATCAGTCCCAAAGGAAAACAGGCTTCTCAGCAGCCATCCTGCTCTTTCATGTCTTTCTCTGAGGTGTGTATTTTCGTCTGGCAGTAACTCCATTCCGTCATCACTGCTTCTGCTTCATTCTCAGACAAAGTGTCTGGTGGTTTAAGGATTTCTGAGTTAGCCTGTTTGAAGCTTCTTAGGTCATCCTGACGATGCTGGTGGTACTTGCTAGACAACACTACTCAGCTGAGGACTGTGACTTCCTTACTTTGATTTGGTTGTTTCTATGGGATTCTACAAAAGACTGGTCCCTGTAAACAGTGCAGTCCATCCTTGAACACCTGGGTCTTAAAGTGAATGTCCTGAAGTAAAAAACTTGACTCGTTATCACAGAGCGATTACCAGCTCTCAGATGGTAGGAGTTCTTGTGTTGCAGGATCCCAGGATAATTTATCCTTCACTCAGTGCCTCACCTCTTGGGCAACTACCTCATGAAAGTGTCTCTCTCCTAAGGCGTGTGGCGACTCCGATACCTCGTACTGACATGCTGATCTTTTTGGTACTTCATGTATGCTGTTTGCTCTGCACCTTTGCTACGAGCAGGTCGACATTCCTCAGTATGCACAGAAGTACTTCATGTGGTGGCAGCTGTGTCTCCGGGGGCATACCCTTTATGTTCCCGTGTCTTACAAGTGGGGGTATCAGTGTATTGTAAAATACCGTGTGATTTCATTGCACAGCAGCTGCATTTTCACAAGGAGCAGCAGCAAAGTGCCGGTGCTCTGGAGATGTGGTCCATTTGGAGGACAGAGCTTTCCCGCTTGGCTTATGAGTGGTGACAGTATAGGATGGTTTAGGAGAGATCCTCCATTCCCTCGAAGCAGCAGTTGCCCTAAGTGATAGGTGTGGGGAGGACAGGCATCTCTGAAGTTCACATGTGTGTGTCCTTCAGCTCTGACAGATGAGCTGTCTTGCAGTCCTTGGCGAGAAGTGGGACTTCTGCTCTGGTGGCCATGTGAATCTTTTGAAAGGTTGCACAGCTGACACGGAAAATACTGATGCTTCTTTTTTGAGAGGAGATTGGTGTCCGGGCTTGGTCTTGGGTACAACCCATTGTTGGTTGGCATTGTTGGCATTGGCCAAGTGGTGCTTCCATTTCTCCAGGTACCTCTGCTGCCAAGCGCTGTCGTTAGGGTAAGGCAGGACAACGTCCTGGTGGCTCTCGTTGTGCTGTGCATCTTGGTACTGGCCTTCTTGGCCTTCCAGTGACTTCCTCAGTTCTCCCAGTCTGACCTGTGTAATGGTTTGTCTGCCTCGCTCATCTCAAGCTTGAAACAATCCACTTCATCCTATGGTTGCTGAATGGCTCTGCGTTACACTATTCCTATTCCAACCCAGTTGGAGCTATCTGCAAGGCGGTTGTAGTGAGGTGGGTGTTCGTCTGTTCTCCCAAGTAATTAGCGATAGGATGAGAGGAAATGGCCTCAAGTTGCGTCAGGGGAGGTTTAGATTGGACATTAGGAAAAAATTCTTTACTGAGAGAGCGGTCAGACATTGGAACAGGCTGTCCAGGGAAGTGGTGGAGTCACCATCCCTGGAGGAGTTCAAAAAATGTGTGGATGTGGCACTTCAGGACAAGGTTTAGCAGGCCTGGTGGTGTTGGGGTGACAGCTGGACTTGATGACCTTAGAGGTCTTTTCCAACCTTAATGATTCTATGATCTTTTTTTAACCATTAAGGAGGAGATGACTGGTCATGCATATCTTGCCAGAGTAGTCAGGCTTTCTGCTTAGTGTTCCCTTCCGTGGCCTGGGCTGGTAGCCTGGGCCGAGTGAGGGAAGAAGTTCAGCTTCTCCGTTAGCTCTCTTGCCATTTGTTTTGGGTGATCTTATGCTCAGAAGTAAGATCCGTGGGTGGAGGGTGGTGAATTTGGGCTTTTGTTACCCATTTCAGCTTTTCATTGAGGTTTCCTCCTGCTGAGGAAACAGTCCTCCAGAAGGGTTTGAATGTAGTAACACAGGTTCTCATGAGTCATTGAACTGTTAGATCTTTTTTTTTTCCCCTTTCTTTCTCAAAAATGGTTTGCTTTCTTTACTGTTATTTTTGCTGTAAGTGTGGGTTAAATTCAAGCCGTTACGCTTGATTTTTTTCTTGTGCTTCATCAAAGATTGTGTTGCCTGGACACATTTGAAGGTTTTTTTTTTTTCCCCAAAGCTGGTATTTAAATTTCACTGTAACCAGATGATTAATGTTCTTCCAGACTGAACGTGTCCATGGTTAACGGTGTGACTCTGCAGACACTGAGGGAGGGAGGATGGGGTTAAGGTGACACTGGAGCGGCACTGGCTGCGCTGCCCCATCGCTCACAAGCTGAGTGTGAAAGGGGAGGGACGTGAGCCACACCATCCACAGACACTGTTAAGGCTGGGGACAGACGTGGACTTCAGTGAACTTTATTTCTTTAAGTGAACTTCCTTGCAGAGACAGAAAGTTCTCTCACTTTAAGTAAGTATGTGGGCATACGTACTCCCACAGTGGGGATGTGCATATGGACTGCGTTCCTTCAGCACCCTGTTTACTGGTAGTCTTGTTTCTGTTTTGCTTTTCACATATGTCACGTCGTCAAACGGTGCTCAGGGAGCTCTTCTTTAGCTGCTGGCTTGTCCTCTGCTACCTCAGAGAACAAAGCAGGGTGCTCTTTCGCGCGGAGCCTTTCAGTGTGGAGGAAACCCAGCCTGAGGGGGACCGTGCAACTTAAATGTTTCACGGCCATTGCGCTGCGGCTGTCCTGCGCTGGAGGCGGGATTGCAGAGACCCCTTTCCTAGGACAAAGTATTCAGACTGTTGCTGTGTTTGACATTGTTAATGGATTGATACTACTTCATTTGTCCCCAGACTTAGATTTGACTTCTGATAAACACGTTGCTGGTGCTTTTTTATCTGCAGCACAGGAGTTAAAAGTGGGGGAGGACTGTTTGCATCAGGACAGACTTTTTCCAGAAAGCACAGCACTGAGCTTTGAATTGCCTTCAAAGCTGGCTCTGTTCTCAAGACGTGCTTTGCTTGGTTAGATGTATTTTTTTTCTGAGCTGTGACAAAGAAAAGGAAGAATTTTTTTGTGACAGAGTCTTATCACTTCATCTCTGGACTGCAGTTTCTCCTGAGAATCCTTTGGGGAGTTATGGCTTGATGGACTTAAACAGCCACGGTGCAGAGTCTCCTGTAACACGGATTCTCTTCGTTTTGCAATAAAGAAGAAAGTTTAGCCCTAGGTCCACAGTTTTATTTTTCCCTGTAGTAGAGAAAGGCAAAATGAAATAGCTATCTTATGGTCTTTTTTTTTTTTTTGAAGTCATGCAAGCAACATAGCATTCTTGTGCTACGATGTCCTGGCTGCCTAATGAATGGCTTTCTAATGATCATTGTGGATTTGCCCGCCGATTTACAGGTGGGATGGCACAGCACAAAGTGCCTCAGTGCCAGAACACTTGATTCAGATCCACGTTCCTTGTGTCGCAGAATACAGTAGCAGTACTGCTCTTATTTCTACCCCATGCAACCTGAACGTTTGAATTCCCCTCATTGTCACTATATAGGACTTAATTTTGTCTGAGCTGTTCAGCCTTTTGCTTTGGCAGGTGTTTTGCAGACCTGCAGGAGCTTGCAGGATCATTTCTCATCAAAGATGATATATCGGTTGTATAATTAGCACGTGCAGGCTTCAGGTTCTTTAAAGTTATGCTAAAATGGGATATGAGGCCCAGCCAGCTAATGAACAGAATGGATATATTGGACACAGAAGCCCTGCAGCTCCTATGGAAACGTGCCAAAGAACATTGGGTACTTTGTTTTCAGACACACGTATGCACACATACTGTGCGGGTTTTGTGTCTTCACTTTGTTCTCAGATGCTTTGCTGTGTTTCCGAGGCTTTACCGCCAGTCTAAACCTTCAGGCAGGTCTAAGGATCCAGCCGCTCTGGTCATCTTCTGCTCCTTGCTCACATCAGTTTATTTCAGAATGTGCCGTCTGTCTGGTCTGTCTTATTGAAGGTTTTTTTCTTGTTCAGTGTCATGACATCAGTGATTAAACCGCACTGAAGTTTTTCTTTCTCTTCAATTCAGGAACAAGCCAAAGCCAAAAAACAAACTCCACCGCCATCTCCTACCACGCAGCCGGCTGAGCAGAAGGCCCCCTCCAGCCCGGTCTACGAGGTTTGTTAGAATCGCTTTCAGTACCCGGGTTTTGAGCCTAAGCGCAGGAGCCTTTTGACGAACCCCTGAGGAACCTCACCTGTATTTCTGCAGGATGCAGTTTCCTACGAGGCAGAGTCTACCTCCTACAAGAATTCCAGCGCAACGTATTCTGCTGCGCACGAGCCAGAGGCCGGCTACAAAGCTGCAGAGTCGGACTACCAAGAAGCAGTGAGTCGGCGAGAGGCAGAGTATGAACCAGAGACTGTCTATGAAGTGGCAGGGGCAGGAGACCATTACCAAGCAGGTAGAGTGTGTGTTTCTGATACAAAAACCTTTCAGATAAAGATTATTTCCTTGGGCAGTAACTTAATGAATGGTTGTGCCCGTGGCGTGCTCGTCCTAGTTTTCTAAAGTCTTAGTCTGATGAGACTTTTTAGATTCTCCACCAACAAACTTTAATTAGGAAATTAAGATTGGGCGAGAGTAAGGTTGAAATTACTTAACTTTGGTGAGCTGATGTTGGAATAATTACAGTGCTCTCTAGAGTGTCAGTTGAAAAAGAAATGTAGGGGTAACCGTTTCCACCCTGTGTAAGGGAGCTCAACTGGAGAAGACAGCAGAGACACGGAGATTAAATGTGTGCTGAGCCAGTGCTGGCCTGCCAAGCGAAAAGTTCTGTCAACAGTTCTTGGGTTTCGAGATCGATGTGGTGTGTTCTGTGTCTGTGAGGGAGTGGAGCAAGGATGTCTGAATGGAATGCAATGGAAAGAATAAGGTTCTTTGGAATTCCCCTTTTTCTCATCTCTTCTGGTTACTAAATGAGGGCTGGAGAATGACCCTGCTTGCTCTGGTGTGAAAACCTGGAAATTTTAAGCAGGCCCCCTTCCTCCCCCCCCCAGAATACACCCTTAACGAGGTATTAAATAGTCTCTTACGCACTGGGCTCGGTTGTCCTGTCACATTTTACAGAAGTGTTGGAAGGCTTATCATTTTTATTTTATACTGTCTGAAATGCCTACTTGTGAACGCTTCCTTCCAGGCTTTAATTGTGTGTGATTTGGAAAAAAATCCATTTCTGAAGGTACGTCCGCACTGCGAAAAACTTGCATAGTTTGTTCCCTGCGTCCCGTGTGGGTTAGCAGCAGAGTTAGAGGAGCACCACAGGAAAGAGCTCGGCGTGATAGGTAGTGTGCTCGTGCTTTTAACTGCTGCTTTTCTCTCTCTAGAAGAAAATGCTTATGATGAATATGAAAATGAACTTGGAATCACAGCCATAGCCCTTTATGATTATCAAGCCGGTAAGCCAAGCTCTGGTTTTTAACCCTGCCTTTGAAAACTCTGTTCTGCGCAGAGGAGTCTGGATTTTTCCTTTGCCTTTCAGCTTGTAGTGTCTTCTAGTAATAGGTGAAATGAAGATATGAAGAATTAGGAATGTAGTGATTTAGCAATAGCATTGAGACCCTTCTGAAAACTACTGCCCACTGTTTCTGGAGCTCTGGTGGGAGTTCTCAAAAATCTGTGTTAACCAAGTGTTAACACTCTCCTTAGACCCTTGGCATACGTAGGTGTTTAGCATCTTGCCTGGGTAATTCTGGGGGGAGAGCAGGAACGTAAAGTGGTTCTCGGTGTGTTAGGTAGCAGTTGTTGCTCCAAGTTAGAAATTCGCCCAAAATGCAGTAGGTAAGCGCCGGCTGCCTCTCGCTCCCGAGGACCAGCAAGTGCCA